GCTGCCTTGAAGTGGTTAGTAATTGTTAATAGCAGAGTTAAACAAGTGGTTATGTAGCTAAAGAATGTATAGAAAAAAACATTGCAAGCATATAAAAGGACGAGGGCAGGTGTCATTCAAGCGATGTTATTGGAGTGACATCACTACGATAAAGAGGCAGAAGCGGTGATTAGAAATTTGGAAAGTGAATATAAGTGTTGTCCGAGCTTTAAAAATTGTGTTTACCGTAAGTGTAAGTCGTATTGTTGTTTTTGTAGGAATCCTGACCAACGACCACCGTCCCCTGAGTTGCAATGTTACGCGTTTGTTACAAAATGGTGAGTAATAGTAACCAGTACTGGACCTACTGGAGAACAATTCAGGGAGTAATCGCACAATTAATTTTAAAATCGGACGAGCGCGCATAAAGCCAGGCATAAAGAAAGCTAAGAGCTTTGGCGCTATTTGAAAGTTTTATACTACACTGTAAATATCGAACGCTTAAAATTTCGGACGCTTAAAAATTTCGGACGGTTTTATTTTCGTCCGAAATTTTTTGCAAGTAGTGTAGGAGCACGTTTACTCTCTAAAAAATAAGGCACAGGCGCTAATTAATCTTATAAATAATAAATTTCGGGATTAAAAGATTCATTTGGGGACTTTAAGTCCGATCTGTTTACGCGTTATTGTTTCGAGAAAAAAGACCGATTTTCTCGTTTTAAGAAATTGAAATCTCCTTGGTTTGAGGCAACACGATTTCCGCTTATTTTAGTACAACCCTGAAACTAGAAGCCAATTATGATGGTGTCCGCTATACTTTGACCAAAAGTCTTAAAGTCATGTAAAGTGATCAAAACGCGTACGCAATATCAGTCTTACAGTTTTAAACAATTTTGCTGATGAAATGCTTTTTTTCTAAGAGCCCTGTCACTGTACTTGTTATAAATTCAACTGCTATCGTTGTAAAATGAAACTTACCATCAAAGGTCAAGGGACTACCTACAACTGACTTAACGGTTGTTTTTCTCTCTCTCTCTCTCTCTTNTTTTTTTTTTTTCTTGGAAATGAAAATTTGCCTCTGAGTAGAAGCTCATAAACCTATTTGATAATAGGTCTTGGCCCATGATATTAATGAAATTAACTTAGTCTATTTTGTTGTTTTCTTAGGGTGGATTACAACGGTCAAGTGGTGTACAATGATCAAGTGTCTTATCAAAACAATCTTGATTACAGCGCAAATTTCCCCAACTTGCCACTTAAGTAAACGAACTTAAAATGGCCGGTTCATTTGTGTGCAGTTAAGCAACAACTAGCTAGTGTAAAATGAAACTCAACATTAGTTGTCAAGGGATTTTTTAAGCTTATTAAGTTGGTATGAAGTAGACCCAAAAAGCTTTATTTACTATTTTTCAGGTTTTGATAGTTTTATTGTAGCTCTTGAACTTTAAACTAGTTATGGCAATATATAACATTTTCGTATGACGCTTTTTATAAAATGCAATTGGCAATTTAACAAATTCAAGTATTTTCTGATTAAGTTGTACATCAGAAACCTACTCTTGCATAATATATTGGTTTAAGGCCGTGTGTAATTTAAATGTCTTTTGACAACGTCGCCTCAAAATCATATAGAGGCGGATTGGCAACAGTTTACAACATTTTCTAAGACTTAGATTTTGATGGATCATTACAACCAATCTTTATCAGTTGATGCCACAAATATTGTATGAAAAAGCTGCCTAATCATTGGTAAACAAGGTGGTATCATTTAAGTGCCAAAAAAGGCTAAATTTCTTAAATTTTTCATTTAAGGTGGCTCTGAACCCACACTACATATTTTTTTTAACTTTGCAAAAAGTTGTATCTTATCATGCTTATCACAATTCGATAAGAAAAAATGGGGTCACCGAAATCGTTTTTGAGTTATGAGCACTTTAAGCTAAAATTAAGGGTGTTTTTAACAGGTCATACTGTTGCTATGGTAACCCATTATGCCATAAGGGTCACTGTAATTACTTTACCAATGGCTGGGCATTTACGTGATACCAATATTGTAATCTCTGTCACGTGATAAACATAGGCAATATTCATCCGTCAAAGTACAGCTGTTGGAAACGTGCTGGACACTGTTCCCAGCCTCCTTAAATATTAATCGCCACAAAAAAGGTCAAAAAGGATGGTGCCGTCAATTTTTAATTATAACTTACTTATTCTGGCAAAAAAGCAACTTTATTCTATTATTTTCAAGTAAAATTCGATTTCCTGGTATATAGCTCTAAGTTTTATATATCTTCTTCGTGTTTGTATTGATTTTGTAGTTAGATATTTTTATAGTAGCCTACTAATCAAATAAAGTATGTGTGAATGTATATGTAAGGTCTTCTTCAGCTCTCGCTGAAACTTCACTTTGCTGGCTGTGAAGCTTCCTTTATTTAAACCATCCCCCAACCATCCCAGCGCTAACTGTCCACAGAAGCAGAAAAAAATTATGAAAGACTAGTAGTTTAGCTCCGCCACTGTTCCAGTTAAATTTATTCCCCCTTCCTCGTCATTTTTGCCCCACCTTGCCCCCTAAAATGTATTGGAGGGAAACAAGTTTACCCTTAGCTAAATATAGGTCACTCATGGCACTGACGTATCTTAACGAAAAGCCGATGTCTAGTTAGGCTGAATTATGCTCATTCAAACGGAACCCATAAATCTCTACCTTATTACCAAACTTTCTCTTTTCCATGGAACACTAACAATTATAGATTGGAACTGTCAGAGTGAAGACCTTTGAAACAGTCGCTCAAATAACTGCTTCGATTAGCTTGAGACATGAAAAAAAGTAAAACTAGCGTCAAAAAGCTAAACCGACCACATCTTTTACGATTTTCTTTTGGTTTGATCACGCATGCGATATGTCAGTAGTGGTTTAAAAACAAAATTGCACGTGCTTAGCTTGAGGCGTTTGGATTTGCTGGTACGGTGATATTTTTAACCTGACTACAGTGATTCAATTCCCAGGTTATAACATTCTGTGGTTATACAGCTACCACTCCATTTCCTTGGGTCCGAGAATAATAAAAAAAAAAAAACATTTTGTCATTCCGGAAAAATACGACTTTTGGCAATGGCAATGAACCACTGAAATCACAAACTAGACACAACTGACACACCGTCCACACTACACTGGAGAAATTTGAAAACGGCGTTTTCACTCTGAACACATATCAAATGTTTCTCGTCCACACTAGTCTTAAGGCATTTGGAAAAGCAACAATTATCGGTCATTTTGGATTTGAGTTTGAGGAAAACTAGTTCATGAAAATATCATGATTATCGTGACGCCATCGTTTTCGAAAAGATCCGTTTTTAACATGTCTGCCGTCCACACTAAAAAGCAAAGTCGACGTTTTCAAGTTCCTCCGGTTTGAAGAGCGTTTTCGAAAAGTTCCGTTTTCGTGACGGATTAGTGTGAACGGTAGGCCTAACCGTAGAAATAATGCAGCGTTTTCATGCCACTCCGAGCAACGGTGGAATATGATAACGCTGCTGCCGTAAAATGGCTTTGTTGTCGTGGAGCTAACGTCAATAACAGAGACACCGTGTGGAGTACCAAGGCAGATGGCATCACTTCCGGTACGTTCATTGCTAGTTCGTGTCGAGTCCCCTG